TTGTTAGTGACTTCGTGTACGTAATCTACCAATGGCATTATTATTAAGAGGCTCTCTGTTGAATAATCCATTCACATGTTCAAATACCGGTTCACCTGAGTTAACCGATATGTCATGGGATTGTTCTACGCTTTAACTAATATTACAGCTTTACCTAAAGTAGGTGGACTAACTCAAGAAATATCAACCGAAATTCTGAAATGCTTCTTCGTTTCGAAAAGATCACTTAGGCAGGGTAGCAAAATTAATGATCTTGCAGTGTAAATCTATAGTGATTCAGTTACCACGGGATGTCGGTTTTTGAAGGAACTTCTTTTTGGCCGCCTGCAAAACCCACACTCTGTAGAAAATGACTACTTAAGTAGCGTGAATTTTTCTCATTCGTGTTCGATACCGTTAAAAACGCAATTATATTTCATGGAAAATGTGCATAAACGCAGTCATTTTTTTATTTCCTGGATAGAAAATTGCATCATCTTCCAAATTTTAAACTCACAGGACGGCTTTAATTCAGTTTTCGAAGTGTTTTCCAATTCCCGCATAATTTCGAACCTGACCTGCAGTTAAACTTACATTTAGACTTCAGAAACTCGGGCCATATATTTTCCGCGTACGGAAAACCTACCGGTATTAAGAGGAGACCATAGGCGGTCCACAGAATTCAGCAGTGGATTTGAACCCTATTGTAAACTTTACAAGCAACATCAGCAACTACAGAGACGCGGTGTTTTATGAATGGGCATTCCACGGTTATTAAAAAATGTCATAATTAGGAACTTTTTCCAACCGAATTTGAGTGTAAAATTGGACGGAGACGTAATTTTGTACCTAATGGGTAACAAATGCATACTTTTTATGCATGTTTTCCATGAAATATAATTGATTCAATACGAAAAATTCATGCTACTACATCAGTCGGTTACTTAATTAACCAGTGTGTCGGTAGGTTAGGACAGAGCGTGATCATCTTCTTAAAATGCCCACATTTCACAGTCTCCGCTAACCCTAACCTAGGGTTCAATATGCCTCCCCATACAGCATACTATATACTGCATTTCTGTCCTACCTGTTCATAGGCACACCATAATCAGCGAACTTGCTTTACCTAATCAACCGCTTTTCGTCCCTGCTCGACCTACCGCCATGGAAGTCGTATGCGTACGTTAACGGCGCCATGGCATCCATTGGCCATACCTACTATCGCGCACTCGATGCCTCCCTGCTGTTGCCTTTTTCAGAGAAAACGGCAAACCCTGCGCCATTAATTTCCTCCCGCCCAGCGCGCAACACACACGCACTCCCACCAGCCCATTGGTCCGGCCTCTGGCCACTAGGGCTTCCGTTCTAACCCGGCCAATAGGGTTAACGCATGACGTCTTAGGTCCCCTCCCGGCTTCCCATAGGCTGCTTTTTCAGCGTGAAGGTCATGTATGAGGTTCGTTTGATGCATTAAAACAAATTTTGGCGTAAATGTAATTTTTTAATTATCGCGCACTATATTACTTGCTGTTTGGCACGTTTTAGAGGCCCCACCCGTACAACCCCTCCTACCACCATTCCCGTAAGACAGGTGGACGGGGGAAAAAGTTTTCTTCACTGTTGCGACACTGTATTCACGCCGAAGAAGGAACTTCTGAAAGTATTGGCGAGTCTTGCTGCGTACATCGCTCCCGACATAGGTTACTTCGCTGAACATTTACGAAAATACTCCTTGTAATCTATGATAAAATTTGTCCTATTTCTACGAAAGGCCGGGTATTCGTGACCCCAAAAGCTACAGAATAAGAAACTCGGCGCCGTATATTGTAAATTTTGTTTTTTGAAAAATATGTCATCATAATGCCTTGGGATTCAGCTTTTCTAGCGCAAAACAGACTTCATAATCGCACTTTATTGACTAATCAGACACCCAAAACATTGTATTTTAAGCGCCGTCGGAGTTGAAGAGTTTGCTATAAATTTTTTCTTGTGTTTAAATGAGACTAACAGCTCCCACGAGTGCTATAATAAACCAATTCTTTCTTAAAGTCTTAACAGTGAATATTGCGACAGGCGGACTGTCTGTTTTGCGTGTAGAAAGATAAAGATAATGATAATTTTTATTAAAGACCCGTCGGGGTCCCATCAAAGCAAGTTAAAATAAATTTATATGTGAGTTTTAAACGAGGTAGGCAGAATATTTTTAAAATGCAGTTCATAGTTTCTGAATTAGTAGTCCATTGCGAAACATGATAAGTAAGGGGTGAAAAAAACCCTATACAAAAAGTTAAAAATGATTGGATTAATTTTACAAGAGAAAAAATGCCCCTCAATAAAAATAATGACAGAAAAAAGCGAGCAGGACTGGCCTGTAGGTGGCGGTATATAACGGATTGTAGTCAGCCATCGTCAGGGTAGCAATAATTGCCAGACATGAGGGTACGTATGCGGGTCAGACAGGACTGGCCCGCATGTGGTATTGTATACGGGATTCACAACTGACATCGTCTGGACCGGATTGATACGCCGCATGAGACTATTCGTGTCAAAGCGGCCATACGAGAGGAACCCAGATGCAATAGGCAACAGCACGCTTCGAGCTCAGCCGAGAAGTGGGGAAGGGAGGTACGACCAAACTACTAGCAGACGTTGAATACTGAGGGTTCCGCCGCGAGCGTCGACAGACCGCATGAGGTCGGAATGCGGAAGATGACATCAAAAACCGCGAAAATTGTCATTATGGGAATTCTAAGTAAAACAGAGGGCTGTCTGAGCACCAGAATAGTCAATTTGTTGATTTGAGCTTCCGTACACATGCAGTAGTCCGTCGTCAGATATAATAGCAAAAGCAGAACAAGCGACAACTTTAGGGCATTCTAGACAGTTATTAATATACTACGCAAGAATGAAGGCGACTGAGGAGGGCTCTGTACGTCATGCCAGATCGATAAATTCATTGAGTGGATTCTTATTGGAAGCCCGGGTTTCAATCGATTCTCGGCATATTTGTTTCCGGCCTGAGCGATTATCTTGGTGGCTGCGAAGTTAAACTCGTGATCCATTTCGTAGGTGGGAGCACCCACTTGTGATAATTCGACAGCCTGTCGCACAGCCACCTTATGTATGTGTATGTGCTATCCGAGCATGCGCCCAGTCCGAACTGCGCAGTTACAAGGACAGCTTTGGCACGGGATGCAATACACTACCTAAAGTTTCCTCTGGGGGTTTAACTGGTCTTTAATTTTCATGATCTTGTTGCGCAGGGTAGATCAAGGTCGGTGTGCAATTCCAACACCTTGTTCCGTATCGGTGCGCTCGGTCTCTTCTGAAACATCCTTAGTGTATGGAAAAAAAATACCAAATCCTTGGTGGTGTTGCCACTTGGGTCCTCTGCGGACGACCGTGTATTCAGCGACTTCAAAATGCCTTTCAATAGTCGTTCTGCATAAGCTGGTTTCGGACATGACGGGCCTCAGGTGCTCTTCCCTCCGGCTTGCTGCAACAAATCTGGATCCTTTTGAAGAGCATTCTCACACAGCTTCGTTTGTAAGCCATCGGATGATTGCTGTCAAAACTGAGAGGCGGTGTGTTGTTTCTTGTCTTCCTACAAACCATCGTTTCTATGACCATTGTCCAATTTACCCCAAATATACTGAACAATAAACTGAGCTCGAAGTTTCCCATCAGCGAAATCATGTAAGCGAAGTGTTGTTTCTCCCACAACCGAGGTAATCCAGTCGAACTCTTACATGAAGAAAGACTGCTCACTAGAAATCGAACTTGCTTAGAGGTATCGTCCCAGAGTAAAAGCGCAACGGACAAAATGGGATCTTTCAACAGGTGCTGGATGTTTATCATTTTAAAAAATAACGTTCGGTTTGACGGAAAAGCTTTGGTAGGCAAAACCGGCGCCTTTCTTACGCCTATATTCAACATGGGTGTATATTGCCGTCCCTGTCTACGGTCATTATGAATTCTGGATTCAACTCCCAATTACGCGTGTACTAATGGGTAGTTTAGATGTCATTTGGGACTATGACAAATACGTGTTTACTCGGGTTTTTATGTCCTATCTGTCGTGCATTCCAACAAGATATAGGAAGACATTGCCTGTTTCCTGTAATCTTACTAGTAAATACTTAACCAAAGATCGAATTCATGTAACTCTCAGATATCGTCTTGGCAGAACAATCAATCATACTCAAAACAGGCGGGTTAATCCTGCCCCAATGACGATGCAGTCGGATGCCTTCCACTTTGGGCTGTTAAATCCCGGCGATTTATAGATCTGATGAGATAGAACAAATAATTTTTCTACCAGTTGCTAATATCCGAGATGGACACTAGAGCTGCCACGTCCAGCAGATGTGCGGCTGATCAGCATAAAAACAGTTTTGAATATTATTAAAAATGCTATTATCAGGTAACGCATATAAAGATGGGCAGACGAAATCACGGTTGAAGACGCCACACATCGTGTTAACCTCACAAGATAAACGAAAGAAAACCTTGGTTTATTAAAACATCCTGGGCCCTGCCAGTCTCCCTAGGATGCCTCTTTCTAACTGACAACGCTGTTTACTAACCAAATTTATATTTTGACGCCTATGGTGTTGAACCCAAGTACAAATCAAACACGTTAGGTGAGTAAGTGTCTTCGTCTAGCGATCAAGTCTTCAATTTCCATATGCCAAATTTCGCTTTGAGGTTATCTCATAATACCGCTGTAGTTCACTTCGGAGTCTTTGCCTTGCCTTTCATAATCTTACAAGTTAAGAGGTTTATAAGAAAAAAACGAACTTCATGCATGGTCCCCTTAGTCAAGTCTTTCTATATAGTTACACTTTTCCCTTCCGTACGGTCTCCACACCTTTGTTTTGTGCACTTATTTTCAAGAAAGTTTTTAATTTTTTTCCTCGTATAACCGACCTTTGCGGCCTTTATCTGGTTTCTCGAAGGTTCGTGGTTCATTCCTTTGCTTACCTTTTAACAACGCAAGCCAATTTTAAGTTATAGAGTTTACGCATTTGCAGCTACTTTCTAGTACGGTCTCATATAAAGCTGCCAGCTGATCACTCAAAAGTGCTCCGTTTCGACAAAAAACAGCATGTGTCTGCCAGGCAAAAGATGAGTATGTTTTTAACTTTCTGACAGAGAATTATATAGCCTTCGACAACTTGGGCCTTTTGAGTATCCAGTTTGTTTAATTTTCTCGAACTATTCAAGTTCAAGGTCTAGACATTTTCAAAATGGATACAAGGCCAAGAAGTTCTTCGCCATCAAAAAGATTTAGTGTCTACAGAGGAAGAAAACTTCTAAACTTCATTCATGCGAACCTGCTTAATGCGGATAGTTTGATTTACGGGCCATTTGGAGACCGGAAAGGCATGAATTAAAAGAACTGTCCATTTTTTAGTTATTTACTGCGATTTTACTGCATCTGGATTAAGTCTAAAATGCTTCGAAGAATTCATTTTGAACGAAGTCTTGACTGATTACGCAAATGTGCATTCAGTTCTTTCGGGCACAGCATCGCAAACAACCGATTTAAGGAATGATGCAAAGTACTTTACGTTTGAAATATAAAACTTTAGAGTCATTATCAAAGAGGCCGTAAATGCGCGCAGCTCGGATGCCGTCATATTTGTAGGAAGTGGGACGACATACGCGATTCACAAACTTATACATAATCTGAACCTTACGGAACCACCGGTAATGACGTTTGAAAATTCGTTGATTGAAACGCAGATTGTTCTTAATGGTCCATTTGAACATCATTCAAACTCGCTTCCATGGACACATTTGGCACACAAAGTTATCCGACTTAAAACAACAATCGATGGAGATGTTTCGATTTCTTACCTGGAGGAAATGCTAAAGGCAAGTATATGCCATATTATTGTCCATATTCTTGTGAAGCCATGTCATATAGAAAGATCGAAGGATTTTCGTACGATAAAAGACAGACATACATTGATTTTGTGCTTCTCCCGGGATAAGAATGTTTATTTTAGATATCCCAGTTTTTTGCTTATACAAACAAGGAACAGTTTCACATATATTGCATGGTTTATGGTTTTGCTATACGCTGATCGTGGTTTTAAAAACTCAGCCATATGACTGCTCCACATCTGTATATTTTTTTGGCGTTGGTCGTAACGACAATTCCCTCAACACCGATTTTTTATAAGTCAGTCCAAACAGTTGGCCATTTGCATGCGACATTCGAGAAAAATTCAGGTGTCTTCTTCGAGATCATGTCTGAAATTTTGTTTAAACTATATAGTATCCCTTCGAAAACGTTTAGTCGTCTTAAATGAGGGTTTTAATTTTACAGATTTATTCACGATTTCGAAAATTTGCTTTCTTTTTATGTTTTTTAGAAGGAAAGCAAGCTGGCCAAAAAAATAGGTTGCAAGGTTCTTGTGTGTCTTTCGGCTGCATCTAACGTTACTGGCATCCTTGTCGATACGGTGAAAATATCTTCGCTTGTTCATCGATATGGCGGCATTATATTTTGGGACTATGCTACAGCTGCCCCATACGTCGAAATCGACATGAATCCCCCGAAGAGGTTTGCTCACCCTTCACGGTTTTAAATAAAAATTTCTCTAAAGCACAGGCTACGATAATGCCTACAAAGATGCCGTTTTTTTCTCCGTTCACAAATTCGTGGGAGGTCCACAAACTCCCGGTATTTTGGTTGCAAAGAAAAGTCTGTTCGAAGCTGGACAACTATTCCCGCATACCAGTGGCGGTGGCACAGTAACGTTCGTTCGGAGACAGAAGACTACTTACCTAAAAGTAATTTTTTTGCCATTCGCCATATTCTTCTAATTCCATGTGTTCGATTGCTTGCATTAATCTTAGACCAAACTCTATTTTTTAAAATCTGGAAACTCTTGCACTGAACGAGTTTACCATATGCTTTTAAATTAAAGGACGTTGAAGGACGAGAAGAAGGTGGAACACCAGCAATTGTTGAATCTATTAGAGCTGGAATGGTCGTTCAGCTAAAACAAGCAATTGGAACGGACCTTATTGCTAAACGTGAGGAAGAATTAGTAGCGTAAGTAGCTTATTTCAAGAAATAAAAGTAGTTGAGAGGCCTTTTAAGGAACCCATAATTGTTAGCTAATTCCCTGTCATTTAAATTCTCAGCCTCAACCGTACTTAATTTAAAACCGTTTTTACTTGAATTTGCCAACTTTGGTGTAAACAAGCAGATCATTAGATTTGCATCTTCAATTAGTAAACATAAGCTATATTTTAAAACTTTTTAATTAACTTCACAATATTCCAAGATCGTGCAAATTTTAATGTCTTATAATGCACTTAGATCTTTGAATGCCTGTTTTGTATACACTATTGTCTTTTTTGAAGGCGAGCATGGACAAAATTCAGGGATTGCCCAAACTTGATTGTGCTCGGCGGTAGCAAGGTAAAACGCCTTGCTATATTTTCTTTTCTCGTACGCCACACGCGTGAGTTAGCAGTTCAACAAACGACCGGTTCAGCTGATGGAGAGACGGCGTTGCACCATAGGCGAAGAAACGTCCCTGAATCATGTCTTTTCATTCATCACGACTTTGTCTGTGCTCTTCTCAATGACCTCTTCGGCATTCAGTCGCGATCTGGCTGTGCGTGCGCCGGACCTTATGCACTCGACCTTCTTGGTATCAATGAACACCTGGCTACAAGCTACGAAGAGGCTCTAATTACACAGTATGTCTCTCATCCAAGATTTGACATTCTACCTCAGATCTATTTTCACGGGTTTATTTTTCGCATAAATAATACTGTTTAGACGACCGACGTTTTACTGCGTACCGTGCCTAAGCACCTTGATTAAAAAACAACATACGACCTCAGTAACGTGCCCGCATTCTATTTGTTAGCCCAAAAATGAGCTTTATTATACGAACCATAATCGTCATTCTAAAGTTCTCAGGGATGCTGGTGTGATAATCAAATGCTTTTTTCAAATTAAAAATTCAAAACGCAGGTTATTTGACTTCCCAACGTTTGAGAACAGACTATTTCCGACTACGTATTTATTAAAATCAACCTTGATACAATGCAGTATATTACCGGGCATGCCGTTTACGCTTTTTCGAGCATAGTGTTATAAATACTTTGAGTTGTATATATGTTGGAAGTATGTCCATCGATCGGGTTATGGGACGCTCTCGTCCCATCGGGTTTAGTGCCCCACAGGAAGTCACACAGCGAATAGCAGACGGAGATTACCAGCAAAGACAAGGGAGAATGGAATAGCCACTGCTGGCTTTTCGGCCGTCGTCAGTACGGCTTTACTCAAACTCTGGTTTTAGCGGCATGCGGAATTTGATTCTGTGTTCTTTGTTCATCAAACGTTATTACCGATTGAGCTCCGAATTAGTTTTATACTGCAGACGATTAAAGAAGAAAACGTTTGTCCGATGCCAATAATCGAAGGAATGACCAATCTTTAAAAAAAGAAATGTGACCACAGATGTTTTTTTACGAAAGGGTTATCTAACAGCATAATGTAGATACTTAAAATGCTGTCCTCGTTTTCAATAGCTCCGCGTTAGTCATTGTTTAATGTTTTCCGCAATCGTTTTCTCATGGTAATTGCCCTTTCTGTTATTACAGGGACAATGATGAAATACCTGAGCATAGGATACTGCGGTAAGTTTTCTTATTCGGTTATATTTGTTTAACATTATTAGTTTTGTCCAACTTTTCACCCTATTCTGTTCGCTTTCTACCCCCTTCTTGTTCGTCCTGTACTTTTGGACAGAAAACAACCACAATCAAAAGTCTTAGCCCTTATACTTAACTATATTATGTTTGACATACATTCATAATCAGAAAGCTTCACTTGTACGACATTTCCTTCCTGAGTTCCTTGACGCTTGGCCACATACTTGACTCTTAATTGTTACCTTTCACCTTAATACTGCTTGATAAGAAATATGCATGCCAGCTGTCTGCCGTGTTCCCCCCCCAAGTGTAAAAGTGTGATGGTTATAAGCTCGAGCGCGGGAGTTCATAACTACTTTGGTTTTGAAGTCCCCTCCCCAATGTCCTGGAACAGTCAATCTTGTCAACAATAGAATGAGTTGATAAAAGCATATAAACATTGATGCTGTCACTTTCGAAATGAATGGACAAATTCTTCGGCCCAGGAAAATGGAGTACAGCAGGTTGCGACGTTTTTATTCCGAAAGACGAAATAAAGGACGCCTGTTGCAGCTCAGTGCGACCGAGTTCGAAAAGACAAGGGATTCCCTCCGAGAATCATCAAGATCACTATCTTAGTGCACACTATGGAAAGCTGTAACTACTCGATGTTTACTCCTTTAAGTCAGCAACTCCAAACAACCTGACAGATATAGACGAATAACGCTTGACTAACCAATGTAACAAAACAGTCGCATCATTTTTGGCAAAATGAAAACGAAAGATTGCCTATAAATGTTCTGATGTCTGTCCGGTTCGGCACTAGCTAAAACCGATAATATCTCGACCAATCTTTTCGCCACAACACCAAGTCCATTTATCCGCCTTGTACTAGGGTAGTAACAAACGAGAAAAACACCTCTTTTGTCCGTTAGAATTTGTACAGAACCGTGTGTTCATCAAAATTACCTACGGAGACCGATTTACTTGATAGTGCTTTCGGAAATCCTGTATTGTATCAAATTGTGTTTGTCCTTTTTCGCCATAAATGACTTGAAACTGACTTAAGATAAGGTCCGGATAGTTTTGACCAAAATCTAAGCCACCATAGTACTTTTTGAATGCCATCCCAGTTGACAAGTACTTGCGTGGAACTTCCTTCGGGAGACGGGTTTTTATCCTACTAGTAAAATATTCATAAGGCGCATTGCTTTACTATTTCAGGGCATATAATTTAATCTTTTAAAAACATGTATTTTGAGCTCTAGCGGGTAAAGATTCTGCTTTTGGTTCAAAATGTGCAAAATGTTCACCGGAAAATATTTGAGCAACATGATCCGAAGCAATCCAATATGTGGTTTCAGGCACTGCTAAAAGGACGGTTAATGCGAAAACTTTATTTATTCAAAGGCCGTGCAAGTAAAGCCGAAAGAAGGCATCTTTTTGGGACAGACAACCATGAAAACCAGTTCCAGATACTTAAACGAGTCGTTTCTTGGCCGTTGCACACAAAGGGTTCCTGGACACAGTCCGACTTATGAGGACACATAGTTTATCTTAAGCAGTGTGGGAAACAGTATTTCCATAAACCTTTCCGTAAAACTTCACAAACACGCCAAAGTAAATCTCCTTCTTAACCCTAACTGCATAAGGCAAAATTTCGGGACTTTTTGGTATGGCAGTTTCTGTTGCATAATTACATTAGTGTGGGCCATATTCCTACTTTTCAATGTGAGGGCCCATAATTCGGTCGTTTAGATAATCTTTAAGATGAAAGTCTATAAACAGATGCTAAACGACCACTCCAAATTTAACTAACAGACAAACTTTTTAGGAAGTAAATATTATACAATTGTGTTAACTTCGTTCCCATCGTCTCAGTAATTTTGTTTTTTTAAATAAAATTATGGACTGTCCGGCTCAGACTATTTGCTTACGGAAACATAAATTGTAATTAATTCGACATCTGTTGCCTCAGCGATAAAACCATTCAATAAACGATTAACGAATATGTCACTGCCTTTTCACAGTATATGTGCGAAGTATGTTGATTAGTAATTCCTAAATATTTCTGAATGAACACCTCATTGGCTTCAATCTCTTATTTACAGCCCGGGCTTTACACGCATTAATCTACCTTTCTTCTATCCTGATGAGGAGCTTGAATTCATCTTGGATGCCATTGTCTTTATTGCAACGTACGGATGGTATTTCCTGCCATTCTATGAATACAATCAGTCAACCGGCTTTTGGCGCTACGCCAGTGACAGTCGGACCGTAACGGCAAAACACCTCCATAACATCTCCTACGAGAGAGGGGTGATGCGGTACAAGAAGGCAGCCATCCAGTCCAATGGACAGGCACCAAAGACACTAAAAGTGGGTCATTACTGTTTGTTTTTAAAGGAAACGCCATCAAACGGTGTGGGTTTTTTCATGAGCTTTACACAGTGTTTTGCTTCTTATCCAAAATGTGAAAAAGGCTGATTTTTTGATTGTTAAATGGCAGCACTTAAGGGCAAAAATAAGAAAGGAGAATGCTACTTTTATTTTAATTTTTTCAGAGCTTACTTGTTTTACAAATATGGGTATGACAAACTGTACCTCATCCTCGTGATACGAATGCTACCACTTCGAAAAAGGTGTTTCCAATCTTTACAGGACGCCAGTACGACATACCTGTTTGCAGTTTGCCCGGCTTCAGTCGAATAAACCCTCGCGACTATTCGCAACCAGCGCAATAATTTCTTTATCAGGCACATGTAAGTGGTGGCCTGTCGAACGTCCGTCGTAGGCGCTAGGAAATGGCTGGGCGGTTTTTATCTAAACGCCGTCTGTGTGAACTTAATGTAGGCTATGAAGAGTTTTAAGTGTGCATGGATTGAGGGGATGTAATTTTAGAACGTATGCACTGCATGTACTTTGTGAAATTTTGGCCGAAACTTACAAGTACAGCGGTTTTCAACTCATGGTCAGGCCCACTTAATTGCAATAGAATATGTGCTGTCACGGACAAATTTAACAAAAATTCAGAGGTGCGACTATTGTCCCTCTCTGAAAACGAAAATGAAATCAAAAACTTATGCAAAAAACACCTTTGACCTCTATTATCAGCAGCGATTGCCAGGATATTTTCAGAGTCCTATTCAATCGCCTGTACATTCATCCACGAAGGAACTCTTTCCAGAAACAAAATGTTGATTTCACAGACACTGTGGGACCGCAGTCGCGATCCTAACGATCTGATAACTTCGAAAAAAGCGTCAAAGAATATAGACAAGCCTTTACGCCACGTCTACGGATCTGACGAAGGTCCTCGGGGCGGTAAACCTACTGGACCCTAGATAGTCATGTTGAAATTCTTATGTCCACAGCGGTTCACACGAGTGGTAAGACAACTGGGCGATGTGATAGTGGCGCGAGTCACGAATAATTAGGTAGTTTTGGAAGCACTTGTATCAGCAAACGTAATGCTACGGGGTTGTTTACTCATTTAGCCCTCATATTCTTCGTCATCTGGTGGGCGTCTACTTTGAGGAACGGTCTGGAATCATCACTGGCCGCCGAGCGGATGGCCAAGTACATAAAATCCGTGTATGCAGGAAATCATGAACGTATCTAAGTTTAGCGTCCACTACCTCTTATTTGGGGACGACTGTTCGCTGTGTAACGCAATTGTCGCCGACCAGCGATACACGCACCCAAATCTTGTCGTCGTGTTCACACTGTCAGATGACATTCAAGACACGAACTGGCCTCGGCAAACCTTTCCGGACCTGATATAGTATGGACGCGCGAACCATACACTGCCAGAATCATCCTCCAGGGGCACCAAACGCCACTAACTACCACCGGCACCTCCAGCAACGGTACGGATACAGTTCTTACATTCCCCACTGTAACTGCACATTCAAATAGCGTATCAACCTGGGTGATCAACAGCTAATGTCTTTATCTCGCACAAATCCACGGTAAGGCAGTGCAGACCAGACTTCCTTGCAACAGTTCTGTGTATTTGCACTCAAAAAACATACCTACGCCACATATCGGTCCCTTCGTCTTAAAGTCTGCAAATATTGGCAATCAACACAACATAACGCATGCTCATGCTATCGCCATGCTGGGAATCTGGTAGCGTCGGTATGACACGCGAATCGTCGTTCGTGAGAAAATGCGGACTTCATTCAGGCGCGAAATCTGTAAATTGATAAGGACAGCGTGTGTACGGCACACGTAGACGAAGACCTCCAGACAAAATCAGTCACCCAGTTTGGTCTCTCCACTAGTCGGTTGGCAGGTTTGGACAGTTGACTAGTCGACTACCAAAACCTACTGTCGGTCGGACCTCAGAGTTT